AAATGATTGAGAATAGATGATGATCAGGTTTAAAACACAGCAAACTGGTTAAGTGGGATGTAGTGATGTGAAGATAACCTTGTAGAATGTCAAGTTTTTTAGACAAAGTTAAAGTTGGTAATGGTTTCAATCATTTTTATTTGAATGATCTGAGTTTATGTATTTTTTCCCTCAGCAACTTTAACTCGTCTCCACAACATCACGGACCTTCGACAGGTTCTTCCGGCCTTACAAAGGTGCCAACGATGGCGAGTTAGGCATGGGGAGGAACATGCCAGGGAGGTGCCCCCCTCCTCCCCTCCCCCTCTACCCACCCTCCAGAACCATTTGGACCACAGGGAATGGGTTAATCACATTAGAGGCCCAGAAGAGAGATGGGAAGTAGACAGTACCGTGACAGCCGGGGTAGCACTGGCACGACTAATCCCGTTAGGCCGAGGAAAAAGGGGGACGCCATCGCGCCAACAAGGCTGGGAAAGAAAAAAACATTTTCCCAGGAATGAGTTCACCTGTATGGTAACACAGAGAAGTTGGCCTGTTGATGCCTATTAGCAGAAACAATCGCACTTGGCACATACAAATGTTTTTTTCATGCTGGGCACCACGTTATTGTCAGCGCGAGAAAAAAAGACCCGGCAGCAGACAGTGGCATTGCTTTGAGATCCTCTTTCATGCCACGGTGAGGCAGATCCCTTTCAACCCAGTGCTATCAGTCTCTCAAACAGTGAGAAGATGGGGAGGGGTGCTGTAAGAAGGATAGAGCTTACTTCATCTGCCATTGTAAGCGCACCCGAGTTCAACCTTAATGTAAACCTTTGCAGGCAGGATATGAATAGGATGCTCTCTATAAAAATATATCCTGCTGGTTAATCCGGCAGATGGCCACAGCAGCGGACACTACGAGCGCGGCTGGCCACTGGAGGGGTAATGGGAGACGTCCGATCAACAGCCACTCCTCAGCCTGGGAGAAGTGGAATCAAGATTCTTAACTCCCCTTAGCAACGCTGGGAAACAGAGCCGTCAGTTTAGATCCATCAAGTTTCTACTTAATCTCGCCCACCACTTTTTTCTCCCCATTTTCTCTTTTTTGTATCTTCCTCTTTTGTTGTGGGGATTAAGCCAAGTGGTAAAACAGTGATTTAATGATCTTTCCATGGCTATGTGCACCACTTAAACCATGAGACAAACAAGCTGAGACATTCTAAGAGTCACCCCCTCTAAAGACGGCTGCTCAGGAACTGTGAGGCTTTTGATACGGCCTTAAGCTCCGGCTGATTATTTTTCCCACTGTCGTGTGATGTGCTGCACTCTGCTATGGGAAAATTGAAGGTTTTGTGCTTTGTAAAGACCCATTGTAAACAAGAATGAGAAGAAAAACAGTTGGATAATTACTTGATAGCTTTATAATGACAAGGTATGGTGAATTTGAATGATTTGTTAATGCAGAAGAGAATAGTGGTACTGTTTAGTTATTTATCACAATACAAAATAGTTTGAAAACAAGATACATACAACTCACATTTAAACAGAAATAGGTGTGGTATTACATTTTAATCGTTTGACTGACACTGTTTTGTTATACACAAACATCTAAAACAATCACAAACCATACATGTGATTTAGTTGAACGCTCCCACAAATGCTAGTAAGACTAAGTAGACCTTGAGTTGGTTGGAATTATCATTAATATATAGTTCAAGAATACATTTCGAACCTTGAGTTTAAGGGCAAGCAGAGGAAAAGCCCTAAAAGTGTTGTATACAAAATGATAAAGAATCTAGTGAGACACCGTGAGCAACCCTTCTGATGAAGACCATGTTAAAAGCTCTGGAAAGGCTCGATTGAGTTCTTGAGGAAAATGTGTTTGAATGCCATTATACTCACCTTAAGTGAGTTATAAAGGCGTTTAAAAGTGTTTTAGTGGACTATTTTGTTCTTTTGAAAGAGGATCACTTACCTTGGATTTCCATTAGTCCGAGGAGGACTCAATAGGTGACTCAAGTGCTGCGACTTCACTTTCTCTTATTCCCTCACATGGCAGATCAGCAGCAAGATCTGTTCAATAAAGACAAATATTAATTCAATCACATTCCTCAAATCACATATTCCCAATGACAAGAATACAGAAGTCAATTAAATGCACACATGACACAGCCAGATAGGTCAGCTATTGTCAAACTTCAATACATATTGATAGAGATATAAATGCTATTGGGCTTCTTATAACTGTCTTTAATGACACATTTAGGAATGCTAACAATAATCAAAAATACATTTATTGTTTTTTTAACCCCACAAATAAACTGCGCGATCACTTGTGCTTCCATCATTAACCAACAGATGGCACCAAGTGAAAGTGAAGAGTATGTGTAAGGAGAAATAACATAGGGGGTGTTTCTCAATGTCGAGGAAGGCTGCTCCAGAGCCACTATTTCAAGCATACTACGTCATTGAGTGCCGCCGAAGGACTGTTCCAATGTCCAGCATACTTGGAATTCGACCGAGGCCGGCGTACTTAGTAGCGAGAAATTTCGAGGCTGCGGGGGTTTTTCTCAATGTCGAGTACGCTTGCTTGGTAGCACATGTCTTCCGAGCGTCTTGCTTCAGAAGCAAGGCAAGAATACTTCCAGGCATTCGGAAAACGAAGAGTGGAACAGGCGAGCAAGTGTGCAGGTGTGCGTCATATGAGAGGCCCCGCCTTACATTTTCCGCCACAGATTTGGGGAAATTGGTCCGTGCGCAAAGCATTGTGGGGATTTTAAGACCGCGGAGTCTACACATGTGCAGCCTCGAAATTTCTCCAAACGAAGTACGCCGGGCTCGGTAGAATTCCAAGTATGCTGGACATTGGAACAGTACTTCGGCGGCACTCAATGACGTACTGAAATAGTGGCTCTGGAGCAGCTTTACTCGAGATTGAGAAACACCCCACATGTGTAGACTCACTCCGCGGTCTTAAAATCCCCACAATGCTTTGCGCACGGCCCAATTTCCAAATCTTTGGTGGAAATCGCGCTCCATTTAAGGCGGGGCCTCGCATATGACGCACACCTGCACGCCTGTTAGCCTGTTCCACAATTCTTCGTTTTCCGAGGCTAGGAAGGATTCTTGCCTCGCTTCTGAAGCAAGTGACTAGGAAGACATGTGCTACCAAGCAAGCGTCCTCGACATTGAGAAACACCCAGTTTGAACCCAATGACTGCTTAATAGACAAGTTAAAAACAAGTTAAAAGCAACCCTATGCCAATTTGACTTTTTCTGCAGAAGACAGTTAAAAAGATACAAAAATCAAATCAGGTGAAGCTTAGGTGTCCTAACTTTGACGTACTCCACCCTTCATGTCTAATAATGCCACTTAAACCATGATCTTACATTAGTTGAGATTAAAACATTGGGGTTACTTTTTTAAACTTTGGGGAGTAAATAACAAATGTATATACCCTTTTAATAGAATACAGGTATCAACAGCACTGTTATTGAACCTCATCGTATTGAAACCTTGAAACTCCAAAGAGTGAAGTTTCCTACACACTGAGGAAGCGATTAAATGTTTCAAGACTCTATAGAGCAGCCATGGGTTTTACAGATAAAGTGATCCTGAATAACTTCTTAAACATGGCTTTCCATTTATACAGTTAGACAGTGTGGACTACAAGTATTAAAGACAAACACAAACATGAGTGTTAAGGATGTATACACTGCATGTTGACACAGCTGCAATGGTTTGGCCTGCTAAAAGATAATGTACTTGAGATTTCTTGCTTTTTTGATAGAGTATCTTCATGGTTTAATGCACTTACTGAAATTTGCTTTGGATAAAAGCGTTGGCTAAATGAAATGTAATGAAAAGCTCAGTGTGTGTGTAGGTGTGTGTGTATGTGGTGGCCACTCACTGGGTAATAACTGACAAGGCATTGGCTGTGATCAATATGGAGTAGGACCAGAAAGCCATAATAGGAGGACAAATATCAGAGGAGAGGCAGTGTGGGCGTCTGTGTGTAATGGATGATGGAGGTGTTAGTGTTTGGGCCGCTGTGCAGTAAGTGGGTAAGCTGGTTGTTGGATGCATTGTGTGGAACCAGCAGGGTCAATGATGACGATAATGGGAAAGGGTAAGCACAGTATTGGGGTTAATACTTCTGAGCTGGCCAAGAGATTATAGCAGCGTCTAAAATATGGAGGAGACCCCTCAGGGCAATGCTTTGCTCCCAGGCTTAACAGCAAATGGACGTCATGTATCAAATAAAGAGAAATAGGTTTTTTTTCTAATTTCTCTCTGAGGACAGCAAGGATATTCTTCTGTTAAAAAACAATCAATTTTGTTATGAAAGTATTATAAGAAAAGCTATTTAACTAAGTTTTAGTTAGTGAATTTGCATATTGTTAAGAAAAAATATGAGAAAAAACGTGTCCGCTGTATCCTAGCCTCTTACTTTGTACGAGTACTACTCTGTTAGCTTTTTTCTTATATCAATAAAATGTCTTCAATGCAGATCACATCATTGATGCATTTAACAATGTCTGCCTGAAACAATACTCATGTAACAATGAGTTTTAGAATCATAAGCCCCTATATCTGGGTTACACTAGTCCTTCCTGCAATCCAGATGATGCCATCTGTGATAAAAGAGTCTTTTATCACAGATGGCATCATCTGGATTGCAGGAAGGACTAGTGTAACCCAGATATAGGGGCTTATGATTCTAAAACTCATTGTTACATGAGTATTGNCGGGTGTTATAAGAGATATTCCATAATCGGTTTTCTTCATATTTGTAATGTATTTTTTTCATTTGTTGTTCGAGCTACTAAAAAGGTCCAAGAAGTCTCCACAATTGAATTTAATATGTCATTGACATGTTAACGGTATAATCGAAAGCGCTCATGGCGAGTAATTGTGGGATGATACATTTTCAAAGTATCACGATATGTATCGGTTGAGTATCGGTATCGTTCAGTGGTATCGGTATCGTAAAAAAGTCAACGATATGCATCCCTAGTCACAGAGTCCTCGCAAATCATTATAAATGAACCACATCCATCAAAAACTTACCAGCAGGCATTTCAGCTAATCTTCCAGAGATTTCTCTCAGAGCTTCGGCCCATCGGGACGTGGAGTCGGCCATCATGCTCACATGGTAACCCATATCTCTGAAGTATTCGGATAGTGTGATCCCTGCAGAAGTAATTATAATAATACAGTTTACAAAAACAATCAAAGGAGGAAATACTTAAAAAAGGCATTTACTTTAGTTTTTGAGGAGATTTCAGGGCATTTACACAATTTCTTATGGAGGTGAATGATCTTAGTTCTTTCATTTTTAATGATCATATAATAGCATTTAATATATATAAAAAGGACCCTTTTCATAATAAAGTGAATGCTTGGTACCTGTGTAAATGGAGGCCTCTCTGGCAGCTACAGGCATGTTGGATGTATTAGCAACCAGTGCTGTTCTCTTCATGATGCTCTCAGTCTTGCCATCGACCTCCATAGTAAGCTGTTGGACAAGCGCAGTGTTAACAAAATAAAATGTAAAGGATTGTTCTGTTTTTTTCTCTTTACATGTTTTGTCCTTTTTAGCCAAAAAAAGTAGATCAGTACTGAAATTCCCCATTTATTAACAATTTGAAAAACTCTTTGGTTCTTCCACCTACCTCTGGGAAATCCCGCAGCACTTCAGACATCTCATTTCCACGCTCTCCGCAGCCAACGTACACAATGACGTCACTGTTGGAGTACTTGGACAATGACTGCGAGATCACCGTCTTTCCACACCCAAAGGCTCCTGGGATAGCAGTGGTTCCACCCTGCACACAACTACAAAGCACAAACGTTAATTAGCAGCTTGCTGATTTTATTACAGTATAAAATAAGTGAAAACTGCCTTTATGAGTGTTCATAATGGAAAAAAGTTCAAACAGATCCTGAGGTATGGACCACTCACGGGAAAAGTGCGTCCAGAACCCTCTGCCCGGTCAGCAGCGGATGATTAGCAGGTAGCTTCTCTGTGACTGGGCGGATTTGTCGAACAGGCCACACCTGCATCATGGTGAACTTCTCCTTTATGCCTTCAAATTCCAGTTCAAGAACCACATCCTGAATTTGGGAAAAATCTGAAAATCAGCCTTGGGAATAGCTTTTCCCCCAACGATAGAGTTTTGCTTCCAGAGAAACACTCACAGAGATGTCGTAGTTTCCCTGTGGGGCTAGGTAGGTGACAGTGCCTCTGTTGCGAGGTGGAAGCATCATCTTGTGTTTTATCAAGGAGTTCTCATACACGATGCCGTAGATATCACCGCCTGTCACGTGACTGCCGACCTGCAAAGGAGATGAATTAGTCAGAATGGTTGCAGAGGACAGACATTCACACCACACTCTGTTTTTCTTCTTACCCGAAGACTCTGCCCGGGGGAAAATTCCCATTTGAGGTCTCTGTTAAGAGCACCGATGTTTACTCCTCTTGGGATGTAGATACTTTGAGTCAGGTCGTTGATGTCTTTCAGTGGACGCTGGATACCGTCAAAGATGGAGCCCATGATGCCTGGGCCCAGCTCTACAGAAAGGGGCTTTCCCGTCCGAAGGACAGGGTCACCGACAGACACGCCAGCTGTGGCATCGAGTTAAGAAAAGACAATCAAACAGCATTGCCTTGACATATTAGGTTTTGTCTTTATATTCAGACTCGCATCATCAATAAGTGAAGTAGCTCTCAAATGTGTCTTTGGTAACTTAATAACATAAATTAAGTTTTAAGGAATAGGATGACTGGGTTTGTGACATGTCTATCTACAAAGAAAGGTAACAAGGCAGCAGAAAGGATACAAGTCTCCTCGTAGACCTGGATGGTTGCCATGTCTCCCTCCAAACGGATGATTTCTCCCACCAGCTCACTGTGACCTACACGGACCAGCTCGTACATGGCGGCTCCGGCCATCGCTGTCGCTGTCACCACTGTTGTAGAAATACAGAAATTCATAATGAAGAATTATAATTTGCATCCCTAGTATTAATACTAATAGTAGTGAAACATTTTAACAATGAAGCATATACATGTACAAATGCATTTCAGAAAAAAATACATATTTTAATTGTATTCCGGGGAGAAAATGATGTGTCGTTTTTATATATTCTCTGTTATTTTGTCTTTTAAAGTTGAAAGATTCAGAAGGAATTGTATCTGTGTAGTTGCGTTTGACATTGTAGGTGATAAACAACGCAATATAGTCACTAAAAGAGAGGAGCAATGAATCACACCTGGTCCAGAAACCCCATGAACAAATCCAAACTCGCTCTCTCGATCCTCATCCTGGATCTTAGCAAGTTTTGAGGTATCCATCTTGATCTTGGTTATATCCTGCAAAAAATTAGGAATTCATATGAGACACAGATGCTGTTAATTTACATGAAATACTCTCATAAGGCCCATTAAACATCGTTTAAAACACTGATAGCATGCAGTACCTCGTCATCATAGCTAATGACAGATTCACATCACGACGATATGGACACTAATATGACGCTATAACAAATTACAGCCAGCACAGTGCTGAAATAAATGACCAAGTCTAGGTCACAAGGTAAGCTGAGGCTTTAGCGCATTAGATGTGTTTTCCATTCATCCAGGGTCGAATATAAGGTACAATTGGGTACTCCTGTGAATCGCTGAGGTCATGTTAGCTAGCCAGATAGTAGCTTTATGTTGGTTTCTAGTACTACGCACACTGAACGCTGAGTAAAGCTGCGTTTTGCCTATGTATGCTGACATGACTTAAGTCAGGTTACTAGCTAGCATACACTAGCTTCTTCATCTTCATCATCATCATCACAGACAGTCCAAGCTAAATAAATGTTTTTTTGCGCAGTATTTGGTGCAACACTGGCATGAAATAACAAACGTTTGTACATTTATAATCTCATATTATATCGCTACTATAGATGTCTTTACCTTGTCTTAATATGCAGTTCTCCAGGTTAGTCTCCAACGTAGCAGCCTGAGGAGGAGCTTCACTCTGTTAATCACCTGCCAGGCACCGGACTGTCACGGGAAGAAAACATCTCCATTGTGGCTCCGCTGATTTCACTCGGTTGGCTGTCTGAGTGGAGCCAAGATGGCATCCGCAGCTCCACAGTTTCCTAGTCAACGATAAGTTCCTTATAAAAGACACTGACCTCTGCTGGATTTAAATGAAACATTCACCTCCAACAAACTAGGATACTTTCAATTTAGTTTAACATCAACGACCAATGTGTCTAACTGCAATTTTTTACATTTGACTTTTTTTGGCTAGAAATTGTACATACCTGGGTGAAGCAAGATGCAGATGGGAATTAGCTTTTAGCTATACACTGTCAGGCCTGCATAGTTTCTCTCCTTGAGAGTAATGTATTTTCATGCATGTTCCTTGTTCAATAAAGACACACTAACCCCTTTAAAACGTCGTAAGTAAATTAATGTGCATCTTCTAACATGAACTGTAAAGTAAAGTGATAACACATTGAGTGGCTTATCTTATGGGTGAATCAGCTATAACTGGGATAAACCCCTAAAAAACACAGCTACAATAAAACAGCCGTTTTAGTTTATTATTATGTAACCTGTAACCTGTTGCTACTGTGGGATTATAGTTCATTGAGAGTTTTCTTGTAATATTGTTTTTTAATGATATGTTAACCTTTTCAAAAACACATCACAACACAAAATTATATAATGGCAGAACAATACTGTATTCTGATTGGTCATGAGACCCTACTATACATACCATTGTTCACAAAATGAGGTAGCAAATACAAAACATTGAATGGAATTACTCATCAAACATACACATAATACAGGCAGGGGCACACTCATAGTCCAACATTATACCAGGGATGTGTAATTCCATAAAATTATGAAAATAAATTATAAAATGTAACACTTTGTCCTGCAACAATAAGGGGTGTTGTTACCTATACCTCCAGTGACAGTTCTGCTCTACTCAAGTTTCCCAGTAAACCATGACAGTGAGACAGCCTGCACAGTACCAGGATCCCGAAACTGAAGTAGCACAATGGCATAGGCTACAGCCAATCGTTTCATTATTCATGCCTGTACTTTTCTTACTGTGTCACGTCAAAAGGTGAAAAAGGCCTTGCACCGGGACCTCAGTTTTAAGGTTTACTGCACATTTCATCAATGGTTTTGTTGTGTTCAAGGTGTCAGTTAATCAGGGAAGGACATTTATTAGAACACACACTTGAGATTGAAAAAAGTGAGAAAACAAACGGGCTCACATTTAATCAGTGGTAGAAAACAAAACAATCAGTTATCATTCAATTGATACATTATCATTTTTTGAATTGTAGAAGTTCTTGCTCATGCAAATTCTTCATGAAAGTTAATGTGGCAGGACATTAATAATACAAAATGAGGTGGCAGCAGTTGGTTGGTGTGTTGAGTCCACTAGATGGAGCCAAAGAAAGTGATTCACAGTTTTGCTTTGTTTGCTCTAAAGATCCAATAAAGCAAAGCTTCATCCAGGTGCTACACTTTGGGTTAGGTCAGTCTGACCACTCGTTTTCATCCAGCTCAGAGTCGTCTTCAGAGTCAGTGTACTCCACCGCAATACGGCGGGACAAGATGGTGGCCACGTCGTTCCCTGCCGGCTCCCGCTTGTTCTGCTGCTCCTGCTGCTCTTGAACTTGCTTCAGCTGGATGCCTAATAAAAGCAAATACAGTATATTAAATCAAATCAAATATTGTACATACACAATATATTTGTATATGGTCATATAGTCCTGCAGGAAAAAATGCAAAATAAAGGATTTTACACACCAGGGTTATTTATGGAGGGGATTTAATTAACAGGATTTGATTTTTACACAGCGAAATAGCATTGTAGTCATCTTCTTCTGGAGCAAAGTCGATTTTTCTGAGCTTTTGCTATATGGGGAATATGTTGAGTTGAACTGTATTTATGAGGATAACAAATTAAAACTGAAGCTAATCTAAAAAAAACGTTATTTCCCTTTTCAACTAGACCGAGAAAGCTCATGTGAAATCAACACCTTGTTCATCCGCTTTTACCTTTTCACAATAAAAGTTCTTAACATATAATATTCACAGAAGAGTATTTTTGCATTTTCTTGATGTGTATTTGAAACTCTCCTGGTATGTAAACGTGCCAAGTCCTAACTCACCCATGCGGATGGCGGACAGCAGGTCACTTCTCGCATCTTTCACAGGTTTAGCCTCAGCTCTGCTGCCTTCACTGTGTCCTGCTAGGTGTAAGGGTGCAGCTGGGGGAGGGAGAGGTGGAGGTGGAGGTCCTGGGGGAGGAGGAAACATGTGTGGCCCTGGAGGAGGTACTGGTGGAAGTGCATAGCCGGGGCCTACGTGCAAGACTCCATTATGTAGCGTTGGTGGTAGAGCACCCAGAGGAAAACCAAATGCTGTCTGGGCTGATGAGATGGGTGGGCCTGGAGGAGGAGGGGGGGAGCTGGAAATTAAAGAAAGAGGATTATATTGCAGTAGAAATAAGGAGATATATTTATTTATCTGATTATGCAACAAAAACCTACTTGTAATCTGCAGGTGTCCGCATTGAACCGTTCATTCGGTCTGCAGCGTGAAGCTCTGCTGTGGCGTAGGTTACTCTCTTGTAGTCGACATCAATGCTGTGGTATTCATGCTCCACAGGTGGTGAGGGGTGTGCATTCCCGGGCACGTAATCACGTGACTTGGCACGGTTATAAGCAGTTTGAGCAGGCACTGGAGGGATGGGGTAGTCTGGGAGGTCAGGCCTGGATAAACAAAGAAAAATAACAGTTGCTTTCACATATCCAGATGGTGGATTTGTGGTTATAATATCGAAAGTGAAGCCTTACATAACAAAGATATTGAAAATAGGATCAACCCCAAATAATAAAGCAAAGCTTAGATTGTATTCCTCCAAATCCCTCAATACAGTTTCCAGAATTACATTTTTTGCCTTGATTAACATATTTCTGCATAAAACAGTGTTTTTATAGGTATTTTCTTAAGAAAAATGTTGCCTTCCTTAGAAATGTTAAACTAAAGATTGAGAGGGACAGAGGGATGATATTTTAGGTCGTCCAGACAATCCTTGTGGTATTTCATGTTTTGCATTTTTTCAGTATCATCCAGTATTATTCTCTGTTTGTGAAATTTAGAATGTTGATTTCATCTAAAGAAACGAATGATCTTGTTTGCATCTAAAGCACTAACCTGCCATCTGGAGAGAGCGAGCCCTCAGATGATGCCCCCTGGCGGAGAGTCTGCGGGTGGCGATGATCTGGACGATGCTCTTTATCGAAGGCCATCATGTTCCACTGTTGCCTTCTGTTTCGAACCTTTCTCCCCTTCTTCACTTCGCGCTGAAGGGTGCTGCCCTCCACACATCGCTTCTGTTCCTGGAAGAGGTGGGTAGAAAAGGATGATGAGAACCCATCTTACAAATAAAAGTATAAAACATAAAGCAGTGGGTAGAGTATGCTCTCACCCGTTGCCTCCGCCTTTCTTTCCTCTTGTCCTCTGTGTCCTGAAGCATTTTCTCCTTCCACAGTTCAAAAAAGTACGACGGGTCTGAGTAGTATTTCATCGCATCAATGGAATCCTCTCTGTATTTAATCACAATTTCACAAATGAAATGAGATGACTGGAAACGTAATCATTTTAGATGTTAGATTTGACCATGCGTGCATTACCTGTAGGCAGTGAGGGTGCTGAGGGGTGGAGGCTTGTCGCTGCTGTTGTGCATCTCAGCCACTGAGTTGGGAATGCTGTCTTGAGACAAAACCTGCTGGTCCTGCACAGTAGAGCTTTTAAATGCCTTCCTCATGTTAATGTCCTGAAGGGAAACTACACAGAAGCAACACAGAGGTTTCACGTTTAATAGAAAGCATGTGAGAGTAAAAGAAAAAGAAGGTATTCAAACAACAGACATCATTTCCAGTGAACTAACCTTCCTCCACGCTGGAGTCCAGCTGTGTGACCTTGACGGCCAAGCGGTCTATGCGGTCCTGGAGAGAGTTGGCGCGCACATAAAAAGTGTTGGCCTCGTCGAAAAGCTCGCCAAAAACATTTTCTGCTTGTGTACCTGCAACCAGAGCAGGAAGAAAGGGAAGGAAGGAAATGAAAAGGTGTTTCAGACCCAAGATAAAAAATGAAGGGCATGACACATACAATTTGTCATATGTACATTTCTGAATCTACATTATGTCTGGATTATCCATAAAGTGTTTGGTCCCTGGACTGCACATAATAGCATTAATGGCACACGTCAGACAGCTCAGATCCTCTTAATGTAGGAGCTATCATTAGAATACCTCGGCCTGTGTCTCCGCCCACTTACTCTCCATCTTATCGGCCTGTGATACAAAGCTTTACGGTAAACTCTAAGCCCTGTAACTTCACTAAATCCATGACACACACACATATGAGCACACACATAAGAACACAAAACAAACACATAAGCTACTACTAGACTCCTAGGATGGGTAAAATGCAGAGGCCAAATGTCACTGTGTGTGCGCTATCTGCTCTGCATGTGTGACCATTAAAGAGGGTTTCATCCCTCCGATTCTATCTATCGATTATGTCTATCTACTCAGGCACAACAGATGTCCAGGAGAACATTTGCTTTATAAAATAGTCTTTCCCCATTTTACTCAGTGACTGTTATACTTATACTTTTTTTACAATGTTGAAGCAGGCCATAAAGCTTCTCTCTTGTTATAATCACACGTTAAACAAGCATCCAAACATACTTTGATACAAACATAGTAGTCTCAGTGATCTTACTCAGACTACTGAGCTGGCGGATGATGGTGGACAGCGTGTTGTTGGTTACACATTCCAGCTCGTTGCCAATCCTATCAGGCACTGCACCGTGGCACAGGTGCCGAGGCTGAATGTTTCTCTTTACCAAAGGCATGACCCCCTCTCACATCTCGACCACAGCACCTGTTGGGGGACAGAGGACAGCTTATTGTATACCAGTAAAACCTGCACTGCAACTATCAACATATTAAGCCTTATTCATAAAAATATATCTACGTTTATCAAACACGGTGTCCTATTTCATGCACTTTCCTTCTCTTTCGCTGCAACTTCACTGGAAACAGATACATATGTTGTTATTAGTTGTTATCTAAACGGAATTTAACATTTAAGTCAGCAGACAATTAGCCTTTGATGTTTGGATTATATTAGTTTAAAAGATTGCTTAGTGTGTTGACTGGGCCAATTGCTGTTGAATGTCACATGTATCACCACCTATCAAAGTAGAACACCTATTGTACGTTTTTGGGCTCTTAAAATGGATCAAACATGCTAAGCAACAGCTGTTTTATTCAGCGAGTTCATTGTTATAAAACAAAAGTAGCAGTTTTTCAGGTAAATGTGCTAGTCACTTTACACTCCTTTATCGAATAGACGTAAAACAAGGGACTGAGTGATTACCAATAATTACCGACTGTGGTTAGCCAGCACGTTAGAAACAATAAGAACATCAACTTACCATAAATATTAATATTCTGTGCAACATGGCAAACAAATCACAGAGAACCCCTGAATGTTTAATTACCCAGGGGAGAATAGAGCTGCTTCACTGACAGTGAGTTTGGAGCCATAGAACCAGGAAAAAACTTTAGTCCACATTTAAGCAATTTTGATCAAATATGAATAATAAAATAAAATCATCATTTGGGGTCAATTTCTCAGTTTCTAAGAAGGCAACATTGTTTGACTGTCAACAGTGTGTACTAAAGCAATGTCAAAATGTATATGAATTAAAGCCTAGCAAGGAGTTTTTTTCTGAAATGAAGCTAATGGCAGAATTAGAAAAACATTTTTTTTAATTTACTATTAGGAAGTAAACTTAACAAATTGACAATACAAAGATCCCAACCAAAGTGTAAAACATGTTTGGACTGTCGTTATTGTATAAAAATAGCCTATTTAAAAAGTGTTTTTATGGCGACAATTACCCACAATCCCACGCGTGATATAAATCCGCACTTTGCTACTATGCTAGCTGCTGGACGTTCATCGCTGTTGTGGAGGCGCCAGAGAGCGGCTGACCTTTCATAGAAATGTTTGTTCTTCTTGACTAAACGTTTAACTTCACACAGCAGGTAACATTTTCAATAACGTACATGAAACATGGGATATTTAACAACATATCGGTGGCACCACAAGACAGTTAAAAAACAAACTAGTATCTCTCCTAGCATAGAGTTTCCGTTGGGCTAGCTTGATTGTTGGTTCAACCTACGTTTGTTCTGACGTCAGCACGCCGGGGAGCAGCGGTGAAGGTCTGGTCCGAGCTGTTTTATCCAAAACAAACAAACAATTTGCTGGCTTGCTTCAGTCGTGCGCTGGACATTGATAGTAGTCATCTCTGCGGGGCGGAGTTCACTCTGAAAACAAATCTCTTAGGTTCAAATCACAGCTTGAGCCATGAGGGGATTTGGCCAGCAGCTTTACTCCTGTCATCCAATCACAGCTATCATGCCAGCCTGGGACATCCAGTGTTTTATTTCCGCATCTATCAGTCCTTTTTATGGACTATAACTCATTAGCTGCCTTCTATGAATTGCATAATAATATATCAGTTTTCCATTAGAAATAGTTGTAACCTGCTATGAACACATGTTTTTATCAATGATGATTATAAATGATGTACTAGTACAAATAAATCTTCTTAGAATTACTTATTTGGACAAATGTTTGGCCTTTTACCTGACAGTGATTTCTTTGATACAGTCTAATTTATTTACTCACTATAGTTTCAACAAATGGATTTCTGAGGTCCAAAAGAAGGCCACATATTTTTCTGCAGACTTCAATATACTTTCAGAAATAGTCCTCATGCGTTTGGTCAGAAATGTGTTTTTATTTTAGTCTTCGTCAACTGTTCTCCCTTTTCTACAATTTTTGTTTTAAACCATCCATCAGCATAAACAGCAGTATGTCAGTCCCTGTCCTGGTGCATTAACATTGTAGGGGGCCGACCTGGATTATAAGAGAAAAGAGACACTCAGCATTTGATTGGAAATGTACACACACACACACACACACACACACACACACACACACACACACACACACACACACACACACACACACACACACTACACTACTACTACTT